TTGACCAATCTACATTGGTCGTCTCTGTCGTATTCGTTGTGGAGTAGCGGTGTTCGATAAAAGTGTGGACTCGTGTGTTGCCAACAATTTGCCTTGATCAAACAATGCTGTGGAAGGATGGAATAGAAAGATAAAGTCCGCGGTTTCCTGTTATCATCCAAATATCTGGAGCTTCCTTCGGATTCTTAAACGCGAACAAAGTTTAAATAATGTCAACTCATATCAGATCTTCGGTGGACATTTATCTCGACAACCAATGTACTTCGAGAATTGCAAACATTGTCGCCGACTTCGACATTTGTGATATCATAGAATACTTAAAAGCAATTGCTTACAACATTAACTTTTAAACAATACAATTTTTAATATGGGAAAATGTTAACTTTGTTTAACACTTACTACTGAAAGTTTTTTTTCAAAAATAACCTTTTTATTTTAACATAAAAGTTTTTATATTTTATTCGGAAAGTGTCGTATTAAATGAATTAAGTTTAATTTCTCTCCCACTAAAATATAATGGGGGAAATGACTGGGGGTAACCTATTGGGGGGGGAGTCCAGGGGGAAATATCCGGGGGATATATCGAGGGGGAGGGATGTTTGGGGAAGGGTCAATATCAGGGGTGGGAGACGTCTTAGACTCAGCCGAGTCATACCAAAGACTTAAAAACAAATTGACACAACAGCTAACTCGCTTAGCGTTCGGCATTAAGAGGATAGTGCTATGACGGATGTGCCTGGTGTCATGTGACCGGATGGGACATGACGTTACAAGTCTGCGGTATGATGACACAGTTCTAGACATTACTATAAACTGTCACACTGCAGCCATCGTAGCGATATGACTGAAACATTGCAGAAGGTACGTTAAAAATCCCCATCAGGCACACAAAGACACATACATAATTTAGAATTCCAGAGAACGCATATTTCTGTCAGATAAATACATGCACTTCCAGGCATGGTAACATCATGCCAGCATACCGTGCGTGCACTGTATGATACAATAATACATTAGTGGTGTCTTGGCGATGGATAACAGATTAGTGTCTGGATAAAGATTACTAGAATATACCAAGTAGTAAAGAGCGCGCGCGTGTGTGTGTGCGACTTTTTTTTATTGTAGCAAGGCTAAGATAATTGATGCAGACACTTTAACATAAATTTCGTCCCGTAAGGAATGATTCCCAATGATAGAGTGATTTGCAGTCTTTTTATCAAGGAATAATTCTTCATCCTAGTATCCGGCTGCATACTCGGATAGACTGCATCCGATTTCCGACTACTGAGGATTGTGTGTTGATTTGGTTGTAGTGATGTTTTTCGTATAATACCTAATTGAAGAACTGAGTGTTAAGATTATTGTATAGTGTCGTCATGGTTGTCATGAATACCGCAACCACCACCAATAAGAACGAAACACTGACAGTAAATTTATTTAGCGCATCATTATTTGATGATAAATTTACTAGGTTTTCTTGTTGCACGGGAATAATATGTTATTTATAATTATTTTAGGCAAAAGTCTTTATTGTTTCTTGTTTCTGTTTCCTTTCAAGAGTATCCACAAGGAAACCATATGATCTAATATAAAGCTCCATCTTAACACCGTGGCGTGACTGGATTAATATTTCTGACATTTATATGGTGTTAAAATTATATAATAATAAAATGAACGAGGTTGTTGTGTACGGTATCAAATACCTGAGGTCTGGTGTAAACCAATAATACGGTATATTGTAACTTGGGTGGGTGGGGGTCAATCTGACGCATACATTATTTGAATCGTTAGATGCATACGTTATTTGATTGTGGTATTTTTTGACCTACTTACGTATGAGGTACTATCAGAGAGATAGGTACGGTGTTTGACCGAGTTTCCATTAAGAACTGTTTGTGACTTCGTTGAATAGCGTCGGATTAGATATTACGGGTTAGTACTGTCGACATTAATCCATTCTTCTTCTAGGGAAAACGTGCTTTTTTGACGGATCTGTTCAACGACCACGGGATCATCACTTTGAGAGTTAAAAGATAAGAACATTTTATTGGTGATCCGGATCTCTACGTTGTGTATTCCACTGATATTGTGTATTACACTGATATTGTGTATTCCACTGATATTGTGTATTCCACTGATTGTGTATTCCACTGATATTGTGTATTACACTGATATTGTGCCTACGGGTAAACAAAACGTTTGCTGGTATCAGGATCTATACGTTTTTATTATTTTTAAACGCTCTCTAACGAATCATTTGAAATCAAAATTGTGGATTCCGATCTTTTTTTTTGGGGGGGGGAGAGGGGATAATTAGCTTTAGAGACTCTTATGTGAGCCCTCCAAACTCTCAGAAATGTTTATGTACATATAGTAATTCTTTACATTTGATATCGTATGAATATCATGTGATATTTTTAAAATACAATCTGCGTAAATATCTTGCTTTTAAATCAAGTTCCTTATATATGCTTACTGATTACAGCAAATCCCGAAATAAATTACATTGTTTGGATCCGTTTATAACAACGCAATAAAATTTATATTAAAAAACTGTTTCGAACTAAAATGTGATTTATAAAGATGGCATTTCTTTATTTAAGTTTTCTTCTTTCTTTTCAAGCAAAAAATGTAGGTTCGATATTATAATGACTGTGGTATTTCACATCTTTCCGAAAAGGGTGTATGTACTGATTCTTTAATTATAAATCCCAATTAAGTGCGAACTCTTTTCCATTAGATAGAAATGGCTAATTCAACCGTACCAGATTATACAGGGGAAAATGTGGTGGTGGGTTGTTTCTGATTTATACGATTGCCTTCTTTTAGTTTAACCCTAGTCTCAATCCCGCCTATATACTCCTCAATCTAATGTAGAATATTTGATATTTTAGTTCTTCATATATGTTGAAGGACTTGGGATTTTTACCTTTACTTTTCATGTTGGTGTCTGTGAGGTTTTGCGAATCAAGTAAACTTCATAAAGGTACAGTAGTAGTTCTCATAAAGGTTCTGTGAATTTCATGTGTGGTTATGCGAATTGAGTAGTTCGCAGAAAGGCTCTGTGAATTTCATGTGTGGTTATGCGAAATGAGTAGTTCGCATAAAGGTTCCGTGAATTTCATGTGTGGTTATGCGAATTGAGTAGTTCGCATAAAAGTTCTGTGAATTTTATGTGTGGTTCATGCGAATCGAGTAGTTCGCATAAAGGTTCTATGAATTTTATGTGTGGTTATGCGAATTGAGTAGTTCGCATAAAGGTTCTGTGAATTTCATGTGTGGTTATGCGAATTGAGTAGTTCGCAGAAAGGTTCTATGAATTTCATGTGTGGTTTATACGAATTGAGTAGTTCGCAGAAAGGCTCTGTGAATTTCATGTGTGGTTTATACGAATTGAGTAGTTCGCAGAAAGGCTCTGTGAATTTCATGTGTGGTTATGCGAATTGAGTAGTTCGCATAAAGGTTCTATGAATTTCATGTGTGGTTATGCGAATCGAGTAGTTCGCATAAAGGTTCTGTGAATTTCATGTGTGCGTTGCTCTCATTTATAAAGCAATGATTCTGATCACGCCCTTCGTTCCAAATTTATTCATTCATTTTTCTCAGTATTTATTTTGTCAGATTTATAAATGCATAAGGCAAATAAACGTGGATATTATGGGGAAGAGGGTACAACAAAAACAACAACAACAACAACAACAACAACAACAACAATAATAATAATAATAATAATAATAATAATAATAATAATAATAATAATAATAATAATAATAATAATAATAACGATAATACAGGGAATGTAAGCATTACAGCTTTCCTTGTTTGGGGGGACTTTGGAACGCAATGGCTTGATAGATATTCCTTTTCCATTCGATACTAGGAATGATGCTGAAAGACGGAACTAAAATCCTGTTTTTTCTATCATCAGCCTTCACAATCAATTACTTTCAGCAAAATTGTTTATTAGTGCCGAAAAGATGGAGAAGGGATTCACCAAGCAATTAATTAAATAAGCGAAGAAATGTAGCTCTGCCCTTCCAATCATCACCAACAAGCAGACTTTGTGTACATATGTCAATATTACTAAAGCTTTCCTGGAGCATAGGAGATATTATTTTAGTTGGATTTGAGTTCAGGTCTACCTGATTCGTGTCAGCTTGTTTGCTAACATTTAAGCAAAAAGACCTGATATTGTTCACGAATTTGATGGAAAGTTCTGCTGTAAATGTCTGTGGCATTTTTTATCATAAACCATGTGGCAGTGTGTATATACAAAAGGGGAGCAAGTACATAAGTATGCAGGCATATTTTAATATCAGTCTTTATAGGAATCACGTTTAGTTGTATCATATATAATTTGAGAGGAATTGTTTATTTAAATTATAAATTGGAGTTACAAAGTGCTAAGTTACATTTTCAATTAATTCATAACCTTTGGGTTATTATGAAATCATTCAAAGACCTGGATTATATAATTTTGCTACAGTAAAAGTATTGATAAATCAGAACATTCGAGACTAGTGGTACATCAACACATTCTAAACTAGAATTATAGAATTCTGAATATTCTATATTTTTGGAAGTGTTATGGAACATTTAGGGTTATTGGGATTTAATTCAGAACACTGTAAAGCCCCTTTTATATTTGCACTTTTAACTCAGAGAATTAAATTATTTCCTGAATTTTATTAAACTTATATGTTTTTATTTTTCAGATACTTAACTTAAGACTATAGATTCCAAGTGGTGCAAAATTTTGTAGGTGTTTTCCAAAGCACAATCTGTCGTGATCAGCTTGACACGCAACCATCAATGTTGTCTAATGGGTTAGATTCGCAATAACCTGGCAGCTTGTAATGATTAACCTCTTTCACGAGGGGGTAGGGATAATGGAATTTTAATTAGGGTTCGTCGAGTAATAGGCAAGCAGATATGTTAACTTTTGGTCATGTAGCTGGAAATGACAAAGCCAAGACAAATCAGTCAAACGTTTAGGAACCACTCCAATGGTCTAGTGGTTAGAGCGTCCACTTCGGATGCGGGAGATTGTGGGTTCGATCCCCAGTCGAGTCATACCAACGACTTACAAAAATGGTACTAACAGCTGCCTCGCTTGGCGCTCAATATTAAGAGGTTAATGTTAGGACTGGTCGGCCTGGTGTCAGGATATTGTGACTGGGTGGGACATCATGCTTCATATCTGCAGAATGATGCCCCAGTGCTAGACATCACTATAAACTGCCACACTGGAGACATCGTAGCGATATGGCTGAAAATTGTTAAAGCTACGTTAAAAGTCATAATCACATCACATCAAACGTTTAGGAAACATTGGGTTATTTAAAACAGGTGTCATAATATTATATGTTGCAAAATAGTTATTAATAAAGGCGGTCTAGAGAAAATTATTCTAACTTAGATGGGAGTGTTGATAATTTTGGCGGTTAGAGAAAATTAGTCCTGATTGGTTAAGCTAAACAATGATTGTGTGTTACGAGATAAATTTCAAAGTTTTACTAATCTCCATGGTGAAATTAGTCAAAGTTTCAGGCTGATTTTTTTGAGCACAAGGGAGCAGTCATTTTAGTTATCAGTGAGCTATGATCATTTAAAATTTCCAAAAGTACAATATGCAAAGAAATTTCAACCACATTACATGAATGTAGCATATAGGTATGCTAGCACTCTTTCATATGTGCATGTTTAAAATGCAAACTTCACCTTACATACATCATAATCTCAAAAGTACAGAATAACTGGTGAGTGTCACCTTAGTACAAACTTCTATTTTTTTCCCAGAAGAATGAACTTTTGACCCTCACCCGGGGATCTGCTTTGCGTCTTAGTCAAGTAGCTGTTGTTTTGATACAAGTATATCAGTGGGGCTTACAAACACTTGAAACGTTAAGATGTATTATGTTGTAACCAGTTTCGGATGAATTTTATTTTCTTCAAATTGTTTAATTCAAGTGATTCTTTTCCCTGGAAATACAAAAGTATTCTGACAAAATTCTTGGATAGAGATTTATTAGAATTTATACCGAATTCAAAACTGGAATAACATAATCTGCGATTCAACAAAAGACTGTTGACACAGCAGCACTTCGCTTATCACAACAGACGTCATCGCCATCAGTTTCGGATTTTATCGAGACTCGAACTCAGTTTCATTCAGGACTTTTTATTACTATGACTTCTATTTACAATTCTTGGATTATTTGTGGATTTGATTCGCAAAACCTTAAGGTCTTTTTTCTTATTTTTTCACATTGCATTCGAGGGAAACAAGTTATTTGTTAAATTTTACAAAGCTTGTTGTTTTCACTCTTTACTTAATTTAAGATCATAGACTCGTAAAAATATGTTCAACTTTATTTTAAATAGGTTTTATATTTCAATCATATTATGAACGTTCAGGAACAAATTTGCAAAGGCTAATTCGTTATAGAGATATCTAAAGGCACTAAGTCTATCTTAATAAGACTATAAATATTTACATATATTTTAAATCTACAGAATCAATTGTTTGGAAATGGAGTGAAGAATTTAAAAACATTTTCATCGACGTCTATCCATATTGATCATAAACGTTATTTTAAGGGTACATGACTATTTGATAATTTTAGAACCATCTAGGAATCATAAAGAATCATTCATGGTCATTTCTTAGTAGTTTCCAACTTTATAATGGCACCAGAGGGCTTAATTCGGGCTGATGCGATATAGTTTATATATAGAAAGATTCGATTCAGCAGGGTATCAACCAAAGATCCCACGTTGGACACGGGCTGATAAATGGGTCATAGATTACACAGAATGATTCTAAAACATGTGATATACAATTATTTATGTTAAACCACTCTCATCCCGATCATCAAATTCGCAAAGGGGAACAATCACAATTCTAAAACAGTTGACAAATCTGCACCGATAGAGCTATCACTAACCCTAGATTCGTACCCATATAAAGCTATCACTAACCCTAGATTCGTACCTAGATGCATATGTCAAGCCTTAAAGGGGAAAACCTTGCGGACAGATCTTCAGCTACCACGTATTAGTATGGTTCATCATTCACCTATTTGTTGCTGTGCCAATGTACATATGCAGTATTCTATATATCAACAATTTTAATTTTTATGAATTTGATTGCGCTTTCTACGTTTCGATGCGATCTAAACGGTCACGTGATACTGATCGAGAATATTTTACACATAGATAAATTCAGCGCACTATTTTTGGTTCCCTGTTTTTCAGATTATTTGATGTGATGCTATATGTATATCAACACCATGCACCATAATTATAAACACAAAAAGCTCCCACCCACCTACTTCTGGGATTTACGATTAAAAATGACAAGCTACAGATTAAAATCGACCATTATAAGGTAAAACAATCTAATTGCCCAAACGTTCCTCCACTTTAACACTCACTCCTTATGCCGAGGAAGGTATGTGACAGTCTTTAGAAGCCAATCTTCGGAAAGAATTGCAATTTACTTCAAAAACATGTTACAACAGCGGTTATTAAAGCTCAGGGTCATACGTCAACCATACGATCTCGATAAAAATGGACAATTTTGGTTTTGATAGATTGAAATGAATAGAAAGTAATAACGACGTTGCTATAAGAACACCTGCCATATACAAGTGTAATTTTCGAAAAAAGGAATGCTCCTGGTTTAACCGCAACAACAATTTTTTATATATTAAAATAATGATCATAACAATGTATCATTGGCTTGACCTTCTAGGACATTCTCTCCAGTATCACAGTATAAAAAATCGAAAAATCGTGGCTAGCGAAGATTGTAGTATGTATTCTATCTCAGTTTAGGGGCTAATCAAAGAAAACTTCGATATACATCATAGTGAATGTTTTGTTGATTAAATCTGCTAATCTAATGTTACAAAGGAAGTAAATTCGAATTATAATGATTAAATGATAATGGCGGGGTATTTATCGATGTGTAGATTTTCTCTCATCACTCACAAAGTATACATAAAGTCATTCTGACTTTATTTTTTGTGAGTGATTAGATAAAATTACACAATTCGCTAAATACCCAACCATAATCATTTAATCCTATAATAAATCGAATTGTCATAACTCTACGCAAGGAAATCCACAAGTCAAAATATCATGAAGTGTATTTCTAAACAGAACATCTTATGTATCTTATTACATGCAAATGTTAAAATAAAAAATATTGACAATCATCTTTCCGGGACAAAAAGTTTTTGCTTTTCTAATTGGTTATGGTTGGAAACTTAAATACGGGTCCAATCATTACATAGTCTCAATCAAACTTAAAAGGTGCACTGGGAGCAATCATCGCAATATTCTCAATTACAGTTAACTTCTGCCTGCTGATAGTATGTCTTTCAGAGGAAATTGATTTTTTTTATTTCTCCCGTGCATTCTAGATATTAGTTATACCTATTTTAATATGCCCACGATTCTATTCACACATCGGGTAATTCCATTTGTACACAAGTCTGTGCGTGGGATGAATACCACATCGGAGTAGTGAGCGGTCATTTCATCTGATTGTATAAACACAATCCGAACACCGAAACCTTGTCACTGCCAATAAAAGTCCCAAAGCCAGTAACATTTGCGAATGCAGAAACAACTAAACATAGAATGTATAATTTGTAAGATTCTGTGTGTCTGTGTGCATGTGTATGTGTGTGTGTGTGTGAGAGAGATATCGTTATTTAATTCTTTATGTACTTGAATTAGTTACATTTTTATTTAGACGCATCAGATTCGATGTTCTGCTCATCCAGTTACATCATCATCTGATATTTTAGTTGTTATTCTACTCTCCACAACATTAAATAGACTTTGAAAGTCATGTTCACATAGTTTGCTTCATTCTAACCTATTTTTTTAAAAATGAATTCATGATTGACTGAACGTTTAATATCAACAGTGCATGAACACACGAAAAAGACTATCCCGTGCCGGGGCTGTGAGAGCAAAGTACTTGTCCAGAAATACACGCGATGGCAAAAGGCCCAAGCTGGAACCCTAATATTTCCCTGCTTGCGAGCCAACGCAGTTTATTCTTTTTAATTAGATGTATTTTTTGTCGATGAACACTAGTAAAATATTACACGTACATCACCGGAAGCAATTATGAACGTTCGAAGCCCATGTCCAGACTGTTATCTTGCATTGTCATTTGTGGGTCAATGTCACAATAGTTTTACTAGTATGTCCTCATATCTTTTAATACTGGCATTACATTGCACATTTGGAAGAGAAGGTTTACTCACTGTGTTACGCTTTAACATTTTTAAAATGATTGTTTGACTTGTACAATAGCACTCTCGTGAGCTAACAAGTAGTTAGCATATTTCAATTTTAAATAACTCCAGAGCTTTCATGTTTTTTATGGTTATGATATACTCATTCATCAGTCACTATATGATGTTTGAGACAATTATCTTGGAAAAACTGAGATAACAGAATACCACATTGTAGATAGGAGTCTAGACCGAAAGGAACGGATCGTAGAAACGGCGATTGTTTCATTCAACCATCATGTACAGTGTTTGTTTGTTTGTTTTTTTTTTTTGTTTGTTTACGACACTGGTAGAGTTTGCAAATTATATCATAGCGAGGAAACTATAGTGGCTTGTACCAGCAATACCAAATCAGCCAATACAAACTGATAGTGGCTTGTACCAGCAATATCAAATCAGTCAATACAGACTGATAGTGGCTTGTACCAGCAATACCAAATCAGCCAATACAGACTGATTCAGTGTTGGAACAATATAGTTTGACCGAGAACCACAAGCACGGAGCCACTGATACACTCCTTAATTCTTGCATAGGCACAAAAGACTATGAAAGATTTAAGTACATACCTTGAGTGCAAATGGAATAATGAACGAAAAATAAAATGACAGAATGGTGAATCTACCACCATCTCCAAAAAAGCCCCCCCCCAAAAAAAACAAAGAAAAACGAATGAGAAAAGGTATATAACAATGCCGTCTTGTCCCATGCAAAAATGCTGATCCACAAACTATCAATGTCGAGCGATAAGTGATGA